ACCGTGCCACGAATTTCAAACGAATATCGACAAGTCGCGTGCCAATAATTAATTTCCTACGGGTATATAGATATATATATATATATATGTAAACGCGTAGGCTATTTATTTCCAAATTTAAATTTGGCAACGGAATTGGCCAACGAATCAATTTCAAAAAAAATGAAAAAGCTTTCTTAATGGAATAAGGCTTAATAAATTTGATCAAGATATATTTTGTTTACGAGAAAATCGAGATTGTATAAAATTATACATCACTTTATACGTATATAGAATCTTGCGTATGATTACTGGTAAACTTACGGCTACTAGTAAATAATAAGTTAAATGCAATTTTAAGATACAATTTTTTTTAAGATACAACATCCGTTTATCTCAGTTTTGTTTGAAATTGCAATACAAAATCGCGTAAATTGATTTTATATTTTAATGTTTTACGAACAATATAAAAATATAATTGAATTTATATAATTATTCACGATACACACACACACACATACACACATATTGTAAATAATAGGATACACGTGTAACTTATGTCCGACGTTTTGAATGAAAACGAGAGGAAATTTCGTTTTAACATGAAACAAAGATTAGTCTGCGAGTGAGGTAATCTCGTAACTAAATTCGCATTAACGAGTAGAAACGCTCAACACGATTATTCACTAACACGCGGTACTTATATATGTATTCGCACTTAGTAGACAAGGTTGGAAAGCTTAATCGGTATCTACCGTGGCCGGTAACCACAGCTAAATGTTAATTAATACCTGTCTGATATCTGTGCATGGCACTAATTTGAAGGGCAAACCGGAATACCCGACGGTACATTGCATAGGGACGAGGATGCAACGCGAATCTACGTAATAATGCAGTCACTGTATTAACGTGAATGCACCTTTGCCAGGAAAATTATATCGCTTTTGGGAATTGTCCGTTCGTCTTGTTACAAACGAAGAGACACCTTTAACTGACGATTGGATACAAACTTTTGCAATAATACTTTGACAATTCATTTTCAGATCAAACAAGTCAATTTTCTATTCGAGTTCGAGTTCAGAGAACTTGTACTTTAATTTTCATTTGATTTACGTGTTTTTTTTCTCTTTTTTTTAATATAAAAAAGATATAAAAATTATTTTTCAAATACTTACGATAATTTACAAAAAAAAAAAGAAATCACGAATACAAATGTAATAGTTCCTTTAATCTCTATGAATATAGATGATATTAATATTTATATTAATTATTATTACAAAAAGTATCCACGATAATTTGACTTCTTTTTAAGAAAAAATATTCGATTAATTTTTCATTAGTTTAAAACGTGTAACAAATTTTTATCGACGATTATTTATAAATGTTATAAAAAAATCATGACGATAATTATTCTACGATTATAAAATATAAATTGAAAAATAGTTCTCTATTGTAAGAAACTTTAAATAAAAAAAACTAATGAAAATAATTTTCAATATATACGTATATAATATAATGACTTTAAAAGTAGCAACTTTCTCTTATCTAGAAAACGGAAAAAGGCTGACCAATAGCGCGGAAGACTACTGATCTCGATATCCGGCCCATTTCCTGCTCCTTCGAGACCTTTTTATTATTCTACGTTGGTTTGCCGAATGAGTTTCCTCGATATCTTCCACTTTCAATCGTCTCTTCTAAGTGAAGAAGAAAAGAAAGAAGGAATGAGAAGAAAAGTTCTCGAGTATGCTACGGGGAAAAACGAGGAAATATAAATTCGACGTTTTGTGGAAAAGAACAAGAAAATAAAATGTCAAATGTCTGGTGGTTAAACAATTTTCAACTTTAACTATTTTCTTCATTTCGATTTTTTGATCTTCTTCTTTTTTTCTTTCTTTGTTAAACCTAACGTTTCGATGAAAGATAAAGCAGAAAAAAAAATAAAAGGTAAGAAAGAGAGAAAGCAAATTTCAAATTTACATCTCTCTCTCTCTCTCTCTCTCTCTCTCTCTTACACAATGCAGTAAATCATAAATTATTCTCTCTCTCTCTCTTTCTTTCTCTCTCTCTCAAATCGTTATCTTTTCTACGTTCTTTTTCCAAGAGAAAAACTACTCGCTATTGTATATTTATACAAAGTTTCTTTGCGCACTTGCTGCAGAATAATGAAGTACGAACGACGTTGTTTCCATTAGAATGATATTATTTATATGACTTTTAAAAAGAAAGTTGATCCTTTTCTACATTTTTTTTCCTTCTTCTTTTCTCTCTTTCTTTCCTTTTTCCTTCACTTACTCTTTCCTTAAGAACAAAATAATAAAGGTTCTTCTTTTTTTTTCTTTTTATTTCAAACAATAAATGAAATCCACCGTAATGATTATGTTCATTTTAAATGTATACTTTTCATGAATAAAATGATCTTAATAGCAGGGAAATAAAATTAAGGGTAATTATTTATACGACTTTAAGAGAAAAAAAGTGTTGATCTTTTTTTTCATTACTTTTCTTCTTGCCTTCGTTCTCTATCTCTATTTTTCTTTAAAACAAAACAAAATATGGAAAGGGAAAAAGTTTGCCAAAGAAAGCTGGATTGTTCTCAAGAGACCGATAGAACAATTAACAACTTAAATTTCTCTAAGTAAGATACAAAATACTTGGATTCTTATTACAATTCTCCAAAATTAATTTTTTACGACGTAAAACACGAGGTTTGCGTACTTGTGAGATTCGCATGGAAAAAAAGATAAATAAAAAGAAAGGAACTAGATAAAAAAAGATTTAATAAGCCAGATTACTTTTCTTCGGAGAAGTATTTGGCGCAAAATTTGAAGTAAATTTGAGGCTTTCTTCTTTTTTTTTTTATATTACGCGAAGAAAGTTCGCCGCGAGATTTCTTACTTCGTATAAAGTTCGTTCCATTAATTTCCCTGCGGAGATATCTTACCCGTGATTGTATATCAAATTTGCGTCGAATTTTAAATTGAATCTATCTATATATCTTGTATGCGTTTGAAATAACTGATGATGAAAATATGGGGAGAGTATGGAGGGGGGAGGAGGAAAAAGAGGAAGATGGGAAGGGATAAAAAGGATAAAATAGGAAAAAAAGATATATTATCTGTTGGGTTAACTCGAGTGTGTCCGTTTGATGTATTGTATGTATGTATACCTTTTTACGAGATATACGAATCGTTATCGATTTTAAAAAGCACTCACGAGTTCAGATCAAAAGGCGATAAAAGGAAAACGTTATAAGGAATGTTATCTACATATGTATTATATATACATATGTGAGTACATGCATATGGAATGATAAAAGTGAGAAAGAGAATGAAAAAGAGAGAAAGAAAGCAAGAAAGAAAGAAAGAAAGAAAAAGCTCGGCTCAAAAAGTATATACGAAACACGATCTAATTTAAAAGCTTTCGACATTAAACGTCAAAGACTAATGCAAGCAAGACTGACGAAAAAGAAACGATGGGAAGGGGAAATGTAGATAGTATTCTTCATAAAATGTGTTATACTTTTTTTCCTCCCTTCTAATTCACAGCAATATTCCATATATATATATTTATTTATTTATTTATTTATTAGGTTGGGAAACTAGTTTTTTTCTCGTATTGTCTTCGATAAATAATAATATTTGTAATAAATTTTAATAATTCGATAACAATAATATCTGTATAAATTGTAATATTCAATTTATACAAAAATTATATCGAAGAATAAAGAAGAAATTCGATAAGTTTGGAAATGTTATTACAAAAAAAAAAGAATGCTACTCAGGTTGGATAAAAAATTTATCATTTTTATGAACACGATGTAGTATCATTATATGTGACACATAAATAATGATTAAAGAAATTTGGACATCAAAGAAACAAACCTCGTTCTGGTCGAATAATTATTTACAAAGTTAGTGAAATTATATATAAAAAAAGAAAATGAAATAATACTAACGCATTAACAATCACGATATTGATAAGGAACAAAACATCGATCACGTAACAGTCTCTCAAACTGTTCGAAGAAGGCTCGATAAAAAATGTGACAAAAAAAAGAAAGAAAATAAAAAAGAACTTGTTTCACTTTTGCATTCAAATACGAAGAAATTTTGTTCTCAAATAAAACCGATATATGGTATAAGAGCTTCGAGAAATACGATATGACGTTTTTAAAATATTGGATTGGTCAGGTGGATAAAATTTCGTGGTAGAAAAAGGAAGAAGAAAAAGAAGAAGAAGATGATACGTGGAAATGTATTCTATTCGTAACATCCAGAAAATCGAACGGAATTCCGCGTGTAATGGTATTAAAAAAGAAATAAAAAAAAAAAAAAAAGAAAAAAAAATAAAAAAAAAAAAAAAAACGAAGAGCATCGAGTTTTATTTTCCGTTTTTTTCTTTCTTTTTTTTGCTTCGAAGTCTGATTAACGGTTTAATAACCTACCTAAGCTTTTTTCATCCTATTGGCATTCACGTTTCGCGACCTGTTGCGATCCATTTACTACCCTGGCGAAAGAAAACGCGAGAAGTGTGCCGAGTAGGAAGCAGCCGCCGCAACAGCCGCCGCGTTTATTCGCAAACAAAAATGTTAAGTGGAAAGTGTTATCATTCGAATACCAAAAAAACGACGACGATTACGAACAAGTTTCGTGTTACGTTTTTAAAAAGAAAAAAACCTTAACCTTTACGCATTTTCACTAATATAAGAAATTTTTATTCTCATTTTTCAATAATTTCATACTATTGTAAAGTAGAGTTCACATTCTTCAAAATATCTTCTCATATACCTCATATATAAGTAAAAAAAAAAAATCGGAAAACCACAAAGAAACGAGAAATAAAATGTAGAAAGAAAAAGGAAAGAAATAGAAAGAAAATTGCATTAACAAGTCTACGATTATTATAAAAATCAAAAACATTTTATTTTATTCTAAACTATAATGATCGCAGGATATCGATTAAACTTTCTCATATATTTATAATAATTATTGTTTAATTTAACGAAAAAACGTTCAACTTACGATGCACCATTCGGAATTCGGTGGACAATCCTTCAAATCCATATGAGCGGTAAAATTAATGCAAGGCGTGATACTTCCCACTCCCTCGTTGTATTGTCCACATTTGTAACATCTGATACCCTGCGCGACACCTGAAAAATAATAATAAAAGAAGAAAACAAAATTAGAGAAAGAGAGAGAGAGAGAGAGTGAGCGCATGTTTTAGGATAGGAGGATCGAGTTTTATGTATGATGAACGAAAGAAAGAAAGAAAAAAAAAAAACTTTAATCATGGATAACGATTAATTATAAGTTTTCGTACAGTTTGCCAGAAAAAAAAGTTTCAATTCTCTCGCGGAATTTAAACATTTAACTTCCGTCCTACGATAACTCCTACATTTTTTTTTCGTCTACACAAAAGTGAAAAAAAAAAGAAAGAGTTTTTGTTCCATCCCTTACGGATTATATAACTTTTTTATTAATACCAGTTGGAATTATTCCCAGTGCGATTTTTCGATCATCGATAAAATAAAAAAAAAAGAAGCATTTCTGTGACCTATTAAACTTTTTCCTTTTTTATTTTTGGAGACGATGTTTGTTTTTTGTTTTTAATTCAAAAGATAATGACACAGAACGAATGGGGATCGTTGATAATCGTTAATAGTTAACTCTTCGAATCAACGAATGACACTAATAAAATATCTTCTAACACGTTGTTTATAAATTAAACGAAACTCTTTGAAAAGTCATACAAAATATTTCATATTTGTCATCCGATCGAAATCAATCATTTTATTTCATTTTATTCTTAATACAGAATTTATAAAAGTAGTCAGATAAAAATAGAGATAGTTACAGATAATTTGAACAATGTTTTATAAATGATATAAACTGATTAAATAAATCTATACGCCGATAAAAATAATTTACATTTCGAAACATTCTATTAGTACAGTTAAAGTAACCATAGGAAGTGTAATGAGTCTCGATACATATAGCAAATCATGGTTTTATAATAAATTAAATATATCAACACATTTTAAGGATTCCCTCGAAAGAAATATCATATTTTCTAACCATTGTTTTCTTACAAAGTATTATAAAAAAAAAAAAAAAAAAAAAAAAAAAAGAAGAAAATATTGCATGTGAGAATTTAATCGAGTTTATTTTTTCAAAATACGTCTGAATAACATTTAGTCGATTAACTTTTTTTGAATAATTGATTAAAGAATCTAAATAAGAAAATTGGCTTATCGATAATGAAAGAAACGCGGTATAAGTGAAAGAGAAGGAGAAAAGAAAAACAAATGTTAAACTCTTAATTATTCTCGTAAATTCGAATGAAACGGACAAAACTTGGACGTTGGTTTAGGTTGGCGGGGGTTTTTCTCCAACTAGAAGTAGCAGAGAAAACCTTTTGGAAACTCATTCCACGAGCTAGCTAGCTCATCCAGCGGCTCGTTTTGAACTCGTTTTGAACTCGTTTCCGAACTCGTTCTGGGACTCTTCTATACGACGACGCTCTCATTCGCCGAACGTTTAAGCATACTGACTTGCTCACGCACACACACACATACACACACATATATTATTAAAAGAAGAGAGACAAGCAAGCAGTAGTGGTGGTGGTGTCTGTCTGCTTGATCTTCGAAAAGTTTTATCCTCGACAATTTCTCCCTTTTCGTCGAATTAAATCCTTTAACGATTCGAAAAGAGAATCATTTGCTTGTCGTGGTTTTAATTAGTATTACTACTTCGTGTTAATTAACGATCCCTTCTTCGACGAAAATGAAGACGCGATTTTTCTTCCTTTTTCCTTTTTTATTTTATTTATTAATTAAATATTTATCGATTTTACACATAACTCTTTATGTTAATTAAATAATATTATTATTTGCATATTGTAATTTGATTGATTTATTTATTCATTTATTTTCATCGAAAACATTTATACATATAATATAATATATATATATGTTATATAATATATTAATGAATTGTATTAAATTAATTTCATGAAACCTATCAGTCATTACTGATAGTTCAATCCAATAAATCATTGTTGAATAATTTATTCTCCTAGTTATACATATGCAATAGTCTTTATAATATAATGACGAACGTGAAAGGTATTCTGGTATTACCGCGATCCAATGGATTAAACGTAATAGTTTCGATGTTTGAAAAGAGATCATGAAAAATGGAGTTTTTGTAATGATAGAAAAAGATAAAAAGAAGAATAACAAATAAAATCTCGGAATCGTTTGGTCCTTGTGACGAAAAGAATTCAAGCTCCTTTTTCATAAAGTAAGAGGACATTTCAAAAACAATTTCAACTTCGATATCCTTCGAGGAGATGTCGAAAAGTATGAAAGGTAAAGAAAAAAAAACTAAAGCAAAGCAATAGAAAGAGAGAAGGTTGGTTGGTTGGTGTCTTTTTCGAAGGAATAAATAAAACCATAAGCAAATTCATGTCTGCTTTCATCGACCACCGACAGATCCCAACGGCCATAAATGAAAACTTTCCTATTGGTGACAACCTCGTCGTCTCCTAACCGAATCAAACTATTACACAACTTGAGAAACATCAGATAGAAATAACGGTGAAGAAGGAAAAGGAAGGGAAATATGAGAGAATGAGAAGAAAAAAAAAAAAAGAAGCAAATAAATAAAAATACAAAGGTAAAGTTATCGAAGGTTTCAACGAAGCTCTTCTATCTTTGTAATAAGAAATATCGGCTAATATAAGAGGCTTGCTTGCATTTCCCGTTTTCTTTGCCACCCCTTAAATTACCACCCACTTAATTTCAGGAAAATCCGTGCTAAAGTAAAAGAATTGTAACTTGAGGATTGCTTCGAGATAACTCGAAAAACAATTTATTTTATATCTATATATATATTGATGTATGTGATTGGTAAAAATGAGAAATTTTCTTTTCCTCTAATAATTATTAAATAAAATAATTATATATATATATATTAATAAATAATTAATATATACATTATTAATAAATAAAATAGAATAAATTATTTATTCTCCTAAGAAAATATCTTCTTACGTTATTTATCTTTTAATCAATTTACCACCCACACCTCACCCTCTTCATCCCCCTCCCCCCAAATTTCTATTCCACCACCACTCTACACTATTTTTTCTTATCTCAACGTCGGCGTATATAATATCCCACCAAGTGGGAGTAAAAAAAAAAAGAAAAACTTCGAGCCTTCTTCGCGCAAGCTGAATTTACAAAGCTCGATGTTGGAGAAAAGCAAAAGAGAGAAAGAGAGAGAGATGACAGAAGAGGAAATAAAGAAAGGAAGAGATAGAAGAAGGATGCCAGGTAATGTTGGCGATGGTTTGGTTCGATCGATATGGAGGTTTGACGTTTCTGGTTTTATTCACGCCGCGCGCACATTTTAAATTCTTTAAAAGCAGCATTCTCGCGGTTTAATGTAAAACTCGAATACGACGTTAACGAGCGAGTTGCAAGTTCGATATAAGTATGTGTATATATATATATATGATGTGTATGTATGTATGTATAAGAAGTTACTATTGATTTTTTGCACCTATGTATTTCCCTATACGTCGAATGTCGGCTCGGCAGTCGACCGAAGTTGAAACTTTGCCCCCATGTAATTAGATTGTGAGGGTATAGGGTGGTTGGTTAGGAAGGGGTACTCCTTTAAATACGCTGATACAGAAAAGTTCGATCAAAAGTTTAAATTTCGACGACAACTCGAATTAAATCGAATTAATTCGCATAATTTTTCCCTTAGACCAACGTCCTGTAACCAGTAAAAAAGGTATAGAAATTTTTCCATAATAGTTCGTTTCACGATTTCAGAAAAAAAAGAATAGAAAAGAAAGAAAAGGGATGGGGAAGAGGCGGGGGGGGGGGGCGCAAGGTTTCCCTCTATTTGATATATCTTTTTTTGTCTTTTCTATTTAAATTAATTAATTATCCGCGTTGAAAAGAATTTTAGGGTAATTTTCATTAACATCCATCGCCGGTGGGGCACACGTTTCCGTAAAATTTTTCTTTCTCCCTTTTTTTTTTTTTTCTCTCGTCTCGTTCGTTGTTTCATTTTTTTTCTTTTTTTTTTTTCCCCCCCCCTTCCCCCTCGTTTCCTCATTGAATCCGAACTAGCAAACGTTTCATCAGACTTTCATCGCACTTCAGAAACACGCACAGTCATCCTGTAAGTTTCACCCGTCCCCTCCCCCCACCCCCCACGTTTTTGTTTGACGAAACAAGAGCATGGAAAATATCTTTTTCGATGTTAATCCTGTAAATTCCCAAATGTGTTTTAAGTTAATATCCCGTAATATCGTTATCACTATATCCGTTAATGATAGAAAACACTTAGAAATGTCAACGGTATTACTATTTATCTTTTTTTTCTTTTTTTTTTTTCTTTTGTAAAAGCTTTTTGCCTCGTTCGTTGATTTAAGGCGCGTTTAATTAAAATAATGCGAACTAACTACGACGAGTACGTTTCGAGAAGTATCATCGAAAAAGAAGATTTAACAGAAGACAATGAGAGGATAAAAAGAAAAAACGGTGGTTAAAAAAAAAAAAAAAAAAAAAGAGAGGAAAAGGGGGAAAAAAAAAAAGAGTAGAAAAAGAAGCAAAAAAAAAAACCTTTTTTTCAACCTGTTTTATCGGCATTCCTAGTAAGTACAATTTCAGGTCTCTGATGTTTTCACCGTTTCGTGCTTTACTATTCCGAGGGATCGTAAATGCGAAGGTGGGAGAGTTGAAATTTACGTTCAAACGGGGAAAAGTATAGAGGGTAAACGTATCACATTTTCTTATACTTACGGAAATATGTAAAAAGTGTAGTAAAAAGAAAAAAAAAAGAAAGTGAGTGAGAGAGAGAGAGAATAAAAAAGTCAGGAAAAGAAAGTTAGGATGTAGAAAAATGATGGAAAATTCACGACGCATGAGACATAAGTTCGAGAATAGTAATAGACGGTAGGCTCATATGCGTTGTAAAAAATAAAATGGGGGGAAGAAAAAAAAAATACGCGAACGTTTCAATATATATGATCTTACTTTTTTTTTTTTGTTCAATGTAATAACAACGGGAGAGAATTTTGTGAGAATCGTTTCTCGAGTAAGTACTTGATAAACGACACTTGAAAAAT